CCGGGAACCGCAGGCCATTCTTAATGGTAGCTCAAAGTCAGGCCCATAAAAAAGCATTTATTAAAAATTCTCTACGCAAATAGGTTTTGAAATTAAAACAACATCATTTTGATTGAATACTGACTGTCCCGGTTGCGGGCATCTCTCGACCGCAAAACATATGCTACCTAATTTAAAATGATATTACACAAAAGAAAATGTTAAGGAAAATGAAAAGAAAAGCCACTTGAAATACACACACACGGACGCACAATGACTGAAAGAAAAGGAAAACAATAGCCGGGCACAGTTCGTAAATTGCATTTCAGCTACAGACCGCAGTGCGATGCCGAGTCTTGAGACCTGGCGAGTGGAAAATTTATATAAATTGACTTCTTTATTGCTGCGTTGCGTTGCCCTTAATTTCGCAGAATTTGTCGAGGGCTCTTGGCTCGACCAAAACAATTTACCACCTAAGAAGCCACAGACGCAGCCGCAGTAGCCTCAACCTCAACCTCAACCTCAAACTTGAACTCAAACTCCAATCTCGACCTGAACCTCGACCACGACCTGATTGAATTTTACGCTTCATTTAAATTGAATTTATTATCCAGGCCTCCAACTCAGGTGGGCGCTCAGCTGGGCTCCATAACCGACCCAAAATCATAATTAATAGACACGCATACATTTCAGTAAAAAAAAAAAAAAAAAACCAAATATAAAATAAGACAAGGCAAAAAGCTTTTCCCTTCAACTTTTGAGCCTTACAAATTTCCACGCTTATTTCAATTACCTGCGGCGCCCTCCTCGAGGAGACAACCTCAGGAATTTCTCGCACTTTATCATAAGTTGCCCGGGTAGCCTGCCTGCCTTTGGATTATTTTCTGTCTCTCGGATATGTATGTGCTCCAATTTGTTTGCTACTTTATTAGGTTCCTTTTATTTTTTGTTTTTGCTGCTGCTGCTGCTGCTCCAGCAGCCCCAGCTGCATCTTTTATTTTGGCTTTTTTCCCGATATTGTTTTATCCGCTTCGTTTGTTTTCCGTGTTTACCTGGCTGGAAGTTTTTCGTGTTGCTGTCAGAAATTTCAGTTACAATAATACAAAAGAACTTTTTACTTAGGGCTGCTTCTTGGTTGCGAGGTTTCTGGGTTAACAGGTTGTCCTTTGGCTTATCTCAGGTTTGAGTTTCCGCTTGGCCCTTAAAACCCACTTTAAGAGCTGTGCTTAAAGTTTACTTACGCCTGGCAGTTGGCAGCTCCAGTTCCTGCACATCGTTCAGTCATCAATCAATCTATCAAGGAATCGATGCGAGTCATCAAGTCAACCAAACTGACAGCCGAGCTGCAAGTTCACGAATCAAATGGTAATCAAATTGAGGCGCCTCCTTGCTGCCAACTACAGCCGAAAGCTTTTAGGGTATGCAAATAAGTCAAATTGGAAATGTGGCCAACGTGCAGAATAAACGTAATATTATCAAAAGTTAAGAAAATGTTGATTTTGCATTAGGATAAATTGAGCATCTTAACTTATCTTATACCAAGAAAAGGACTTCAATTGTCCCAAAGTATTTGTATATTGTTTCTTATATATTTGAGCATATACATATTATATCTATATTATGTTCTTTTATTATAGTATTTTCTTTATTCGACTTTATAAATTTATTTTTATACGCGATACTTTCAAATCGAAGAACACTTGAGAAATGCCTGATCAATTTAGTTATCCGGGACTATAATTTAGCTTATTCTATTTGTACTAAATAGTTCGTAACTGCGTTTAACTGCTACTTTAAACAGGCAGCAGTTATTTAAGCTATTTCGCTTTAATGCCCATTGTTCTGTGTGGTTGGCCTAATAAAAAAAATTAAATTTAATTACCAGCCACAAAACTAATTTGAAACTTTATCTCTGGATCGGCAGCACATACACAGTGCTAGTCTAGCACGAGGCACCCGAGCATTATCTAACATAAATTTCCCATTGCGTGTCCAAAAGCTATTTGTTGTCTCTGCAACGCACTTCGTCGGTCTTTCGTCTGACAGACAGTCAGTCAGTCAGTCAATTGGACAGTCGGCATGTCAGTCAGCAAGTTAGATAGACACACGTATCCTACATCATTTCACCACTTTTCCTACTCTTTTTACACATGCACACACATATATTTTAGTAGCGAGCATTTTTGTGGTTTGCCGGTGGTCTTCCAAGTTATCCTACACTGCGGAGGCTGATTGCCTACGCACTTTGCTGGTTGCCGATCCCCTGACTCTGGCTAGTAAAATGGGATACGTGCTGCGTTGTCTGCAAGTCCTAACTGAGGTTAGGAGGAAACTCAGCTGATTTAATTGGCTGTGCAGAGTGAGGACATGACCTTAGAGGCAGCACATTTGTATTATATATATACATTTTGTTTAAATATTTTTAAATTTGAATTTTATTAATCAAAAAGCCATTTGTTACTTACAAACGACGTGTGTATATATAAATAAAATTTTCTTTTCGAATGGCATCAATAGAAGAAGTCAAAGCACATTTCTTTGTCAAAGTACAATAATAAAGGGCTTAACATGATTGCAGCATAAATTTCAGTTATATCCGTAATTGTCAATTGCGAGAGATCATAAAAATACATTTGGAGAGAAAAAAAAAAACATAAAATGGCATTTTACGATTTTTCAATTAAACAAATTATTCGAAACAGTTGGCATTTTGGGTTTGGTTTTAAAATGGGAAGTGGCACGCGTTGGGTTCCGGCGTTCGTGTGCCGAGGATTGATGCCATGCGGGCTGCAGGCTCATCAAATTTAATTTCCAATAAAAATTTCAATTGTTAACGCGCGCTGATTTAAATAGTTTTAAAATTTAATTGCGCCGCATTGTCAGACCAAAATACAAATCGCCCACACCTAGGCACAACAATCTAGCCACAACAAGGGGGCTAATTCAAACTTTTTGATGGATGCATGGAAAAACTCAACGAAGTAAAACGAATTGCTGCTTGGCCACGGCATTAAACAATTTGTGAATTTTTCTTAGAATTTCCGCTAGTTCCGCTGTTGACAAAAACACAACGCGCTCAATTTTTCAACTTGGCAGCGCTGGGCCCCTTGCCGCACATGTCGCCAACCTATTGGCGACTCACTGGCTCCGCCTGGCTGACCTGACCAGATCTGACCCGACCCGAAACGACCTGACCAAACCAGCCCAGGCCAGGCCAGGCCAGCCGCAGCCACCGACATGACCAGCGAGTCTCGCTGGCTTTGCTGTTGTCGTGTCAACCAAAGTGTTATTAATGGCTTGTTTTTACTAAATTTATTGCTTGCTATTTATTAATTTATTGACTTTAAATGCAATTAGATAAGAAAAGTGCATTGCAGTGGCCCTGGTCAGGCGCTTTGGGCGCCTTTTCGCTCTCCTGGGCTCTGTTCATTTTTCTTTGATCAGACGCATGCATATGACATGTGTAATATGCACTGCAGCTGGCCGATAGCGAAAATTGCCATTTAATGTTTAATAATCGTTAAGGTTTTATGTTGGCCAGAGAGAAATATAGTTTCGCAGTTTCATTAATTTGGCTTTTATAGTAAATTTAAAATGCATAAAATGTTGTACACTGAAAATAAATATTGGAGCTAGTTCGGGCATAAACAAATTTCGCTGTCAAGTTTGAAAGTATCTTGAAATACTCCCAAGTTATATTGCTGTCAGAAGTTGCAGTTACAGTTCTGGGTTAACAGGTTGTCCTTTGGCTTATGTCAAGTTCGACATTAGACGTGACCCTAAAACTCCCTTTAAGAGCTGAGCTTAAATATGCCAGGTCGTTGGCAGTTCCTGTACCCATAAGCTATTTTGGGTTTCTCGTTTCACGTTTCTCTTGGAAGCTTGTAAAGATCCCGAGAAAATCCTGAGTTACCTGCTAAAGTTCCACTAGCTGCATATTATTTTTTATTGTCAATTAATTCTGTATATTTAGGAATATGTTCATAACATTGTTCGCCCTTTCCTGGATACATGCATACTTAATTTTGTAGCCTAATTTTCTGGTATGCTTTGAATGTACATAATAATTTGTTTGTTTTCGCTTTCGTTTCAAGCACTTATAAAGCCCAAAACATGTCACACACTCCCAGAGCTGTTCGGTTCTGTTTTGCCAATCAATAACAATTTAAAAGCTGTTGCGACAACATGTGCCAAGGCCCCAATAGCTTTGCTATATGCCACACAAGCCGACTCCAATGAGAGGCCCACAGATTGCAGCAATTACGCAACATAACATGCAACAACAACAGCAACACAAACAACAAAGACAACAACTTTGGCAAGAGAAACGCCATATTGTGAGAGGAGTATGAGGGATGTTCTACCCTAAAATTTTATGTCACATTTGCGTCACATGCCGAACAGCCGAAAAATGCCAAAGAAATAAGCTGCAAAAGCTACAAAAAAAAAAAGGAAAAAAGAAAATCGAAATGTATTTATATATATATAAATAGCTATGCGACAAAACACGACGAAACACCATATAAAAGTTAAACAGTAATTTGACATAGACGACAACAGCATATGTGGGAGTGCTCCTCATGGGGTGGATGGGATAGGGGCAGGGGCTTTTGTATTTTGAAAATGGCTTACAAATTTGGTCTGACAAGTAAATATTTTTTTTTTTTAGATAAAGCGTCCGAGTGCGTGAGCGTGTGCTCCGACAAAGCGTAGGCGCGTGAGCTATTTAAAAAAGAAAATGAAAAAAGGTTCCCAGAAATAAACCAAAATAGGTCATAAAGGAGGACATGTTCTGTTGGTCAAGTTCGCCCCTTGGGCGGTTCTTTGAACTTTGGCATTGCTTCATGCTTACAATATATACATAATAAAATAACGAAAGGTATTTTTGTGGTTTCAACTGCTGCTGTCATATGCTAAATAATATTTGCGGTTTCTAGTATATTTCTAAACAGTTTTTAATTATTTCTTTTGCTATTGCATTTTATGTAATGGCTTTTATTTTTTTGCTGGTCACGTTTTAGATTCAGTCAACCACATGGCGCAGTCATAAACATGTTCATCTTCAGCAACATGCGCGGTACGGAAAACCACAAATCAAAATGTCAAAAGTGCTACAGCTGTTGATGTCTCTATAAAGGCTGCATCTCTCACTCACATAACTGGAACGGAAACTGGCCGGCTACCGTTTGGCGGAGCAGCTCGGCTGAGCGTCAACCTCAGGTAAGCGTAAGCAACCACCAAAGTCTGGCGCTGAACAGCGGGCAGCTAATTTGGAACTGTTAATTATACCTGCAGGCTGCAGGCTGGCTGCTTGGAAATATGCTTGAAGATCATATAAATACCAAAAATTATGCATTGCATGCAACCGTTTTTTGACTTATTGCCTTCATTTTTCGTCCACCCAATGTTCCTTCCTCTACTTTATTTTTTTTTTTTGGCCAGCAACTCCTCGTAATTACCAAATTATAGGCTTACCCTTTTGGCTGACTGATTAGACTCATTTACAAATTTTTGTCTGACTGCATTTGGCTGCCGTTTTCCACTCTCGGAGACGCTCTCAGAGAAAGGTACGACCCGACGGCGCTTAATAGACAAATTAACTTCGGCTAACTCCGGTCGCAGCTGTCTGGCTCTATCTGGCTGTCTGTCTGGCCTATACTTAGCCTCGATAACATCTTGTAAATATTATGTAATTTTTTATAAATTTCCCATAATTATAGTGGCCAGGTTGTTAGGCTATTTGATTTATAAGTACGCATAATTTGCTGCAGTTTGCGCTGGTGGTTGAACTTCTGAGAACTTGAACACAGAAATCAATTTAGTATATTGTAGAACTAAGCACACACAGCTTAGTTAATATATATAGTCAATTTAAGCTTCTCCTCTGTCCTTACGTTACTTTATCTATCTACATTATCAACTTATTTTGAGTACAGAATTTAATCTAGTGCACTGTAGAACATAGCACATTTGTAGTGAATGCTTTACGATTTGAGCTTTTGGCTATAAATCTAGTGCACTGTAAAGTAAAATTTACTTAGTTAAATTAATATGTATAGTTAATGCCTTACAATTTAATCTCTGGCGTTTTCCATTGCTTCCTTCCTTTACTTTATCTACCTTTCGGATGTTACCTGCCGTTAGCTTTGGCATTTATTTAACTAAATACTCTCAAATATATTTCAATCGAAAAATCAAATCAATTGAATCACTAAATTGTTCCATTCCTGTTCTCTCTGTCTCCCCTTTTTTCCATTGCGCACTTTAGTCAGTACTTACATTTTATTTGTGAATATCTGTTTGGTACTGTTCCGTTATTTAAATACCCCTTAGCTCATAAAAGAGAACTCATTGAGGAAATGTTTTGAAATGTTTGCCATTGGTATTGTCGAGCATTCCCATTCCTATTCCCATTCCCAGTGCACGTTTTAATAGAGTTGTTTAAGGTAACTGTAAGTTTTTATAGATGTTCGTGTTTCAACAACGCTGGCAACTTAAATCAATTTGAGTAGTGCACAGCCGGAGGATTTTATACCAAATTTTTAATGGTGTATTTTGAATGGGTTTTCATTCCACGTCTGGCAATTTATCATGGGGCTCTTAACGAGCGCGCCCCGAATGCGTTGACTATAAACAAACAATTAAAAAGCGCAACGAAAACTAAAACTCAACACTTTCATTAAAGCATAGATACAAAATACAAAATACAAACTGAATTGGGCAACAATAAAATATCTTTATATATGTTAGGGGCGGTGAAGGAGGTGGAGGTAAGGCCCTGAAAAGCTGTCATAAGGCAGCTAAAGTCGGTTCTTTGTTTGTCTGATCGAGAATAAACAAAAACTGAATGTGACTTAAATGATAAAAATGTCAGAAAAGTGTCAAATGACGTCGACGAGGGCGACGAATGATGATAAAGAGCTCTGACTAAGCGGCTACCAGCACCCCTTTGCTCCATTTGTCTTGGAGGAGCTGCATATAAAAAAAAAAAAAATAAATAAATAAAAAAAATGGATAATAATTAAACGCACGGGACACATTTGAATAGCACTTCTCTCTTATAAAGAGTCTGCCCTACGTCCCACTTCCGTTGCTGTGCCCCCCTCTCCGCCGACTGGCGATCGTGTTGCAGTTGCATTACCATTTCCAGTTTCCATGGGTTCCCTGTTCCTGGTTCCCGACCGGCGCGGCTCGACTTCGTCTTCTCGTTTTTCGTCTCCAGCAACGCCCCCTGCTTCCGCCGAGACTGGGGCCAGCCTCTGGTGATCTTGCCGCTTGATTTATGCGCCGCCGTTACTGAAATTTTGTATCTAAATGTGGCATTTAAGTTATCAACAACAACAAGCAGCAACTTGTGGTCCGTCCACGGTCCGTTCCTGGCCATCTGCCGCCTGGCGGGGCGCGCGTTCTTGTATTCTCAATGTATGCCCTTCAGTTTTCAGCTCTTGCCTCATTTCTCTTGTATGCGTTTCTTAAATCCCTGAAATATTTCGCGGCATGATTTAGTTGCATTTCACGCACATCACACGCAACGCACGCGGTCATACCTAGGGCCTACGGAGTGCGGGGCTATGAGGCTATATGGACAATGTGAATGCGAGTTATTCGCGTGTGCGTAGCTGGCATATCTTCATATGCATACACACATATATGTACATATATTGGAAGGGGAATTCTACACTCGGGGTAGGTGTGCCACACAGCGGAGCCTCGTTGCCAGTTCCCAGTGCACAGCTCCCGCTGCGTAAAATGTTGTGCCATCATTTTTTCGATATTTACAGCAAAAGTCGCTAAGACTGGCGGCCCATCAAAATAATCTGGGGGCGCTGCAAATAGTGGGATATTCCCATTATGTGGACACGTTTGCATTAAGTTGTAGATGTTCAGCTGATTTAACATGTGCAGGGTATTTAAAAAATATGTTATTTTTACCAGATACTAAAAGGGATTATAAATGCGTTTTGCAATCAGTTTCTTGCGTTATTTAATGGTTTTAATATTTCTTAAATTTATTTATTTTACATGATGATAAAAAACTAATTTTTGTAAATAAACTCAAAGGCAGCGCAAGCAATTGAAGTTTGTTACTCAAACCTAATTTTGAGTCTAATTTTCCATTTATTATTTCAATTTAATATTTACTTTAAAGTGTCTTTTCTTGTATACTCACCTTTTAATATGCCCGTTAATTTCTTGTGCAGCGCATTAAAAATTTTGCAGCTTGCCGAAATTCGCTGATTCGCTTCCATTTTTTTTCTGTCTTGTTTTCGTTTTTGTGGCTCCATGGGGCACTTTTTGCGTGAATTTAAAACAAAAGCCTACCCAGAGCAACAGCTGCCTGCCAATCGACTCATTTCAGACTCAAGTCCAATTCCTTTATGACGCGTTTTTGTTTTTTCCCCCTCACTTTTTATTTAAATACACTTGAGGCTCTTAATTATATTGCTGCGTGTTTTATTTCGCTCTGCGCTTCGGCCGGGCTTGGCTTTTGTTTTTTTTTTTTTTTTTTTTTTTGTGATGGAGCAGAAATCACCTGCGGCGTTACAATGGGTTTCCGTTTGTATTGCTCATTTTAGTTAGTTTTGTTTCGTTTTTGGCATGTGTTTCATCTTCCTCAGCAAGGCGGAAATTTAGTTTTCGCTAATGGCCGCTAATGAAGCAGCTCGTGTCCGACTCGCTGTTGGATATCTTAAGAGCTTGCAAATTAGGAGCAGGCTTTTAGTAGCCAGCTAATTAGCAACTGTTCTGCATTTACAACATGTTGGCCATTGTGTTGGGGCCAGCTCCAATGCCCGGTTATCATAATTAACAAGCTCGCGCATTGTCCAACTCTCAATATGGAATGCACACAATTGGATAGAGATTTCCACCCCCAAATCTCAGTTAGCCCACCCATCGAGTTGCTTCCGTTGTTTCCTTTTGGGGCCGCGCTGCAGGCACTTGAGCCGCGTCGAGAGCGGACCACACACACACACACACACACGCACACTCGCATACAGAAACCTCAACGTCGACGCCTGACAGTTGAGTCGGACAGGCCCAGAAGAGGCGTCGTTGTCGAGTGGCTAAAAAAGGAGAAATACATATTTTGCCTTTTTCTGTTGCCTTTTCATACAAATTGAATTTACAGCTATAATTCCAAGTATTCTCTGACTAAATTTAAATGATTGTAGACTAAAGGCAAAGTTTGCAACACTTTAAAGAGCTCCATTTAATCTACAAGTTGATTACATTAAGCAAAAGAAACTATTCAGTAAGGAATTTATTTATAGCTTGAATAAAATAATTTTAAAAGTTAACAGTTTTATGCTCCATTCATTTAATCTTTGTCTAAAAATATTAAACATATTTCATCAAGAACTTGAACCTGCGTAGTTTTGATGAATGTGGTCTAACCTTTAAAGGGGCCATATAAATCATATATGTATATCTCATGTCGTTTCAAAGTTATTCCATCTTCGTTGTAAGAAAAAATAATCCTAGGCTTGTATTAATTTTTTCTTTTATTTTATTTTATTTTTTTTTTTTTTGCCATCGCCTTTGGGCGCGACATTTTTGTCACCAGGCCGCGACGCCTGCGTCACATTTCATGAGAAAAAGTGCAGTCGGAGTTTGGGTCTGGGATGGACGAGGCGACGCGTCGGGTCCGGAGTCTGGGGAACTCAAGTGGTGACAGCTCTGGTTTTGTGAGGGGCCTGCGGCTGATTATGGCCAGCACTTGGGCCTGGGCTACTGTTTGTATAGACTCCTGCGTCCAGTCAAAAACTATGCCCCGACACGACGATGATTTACAAATCTGTGGAAAAAGTTTTGAAAAACTCGAACTCATTGCGGTTGTGGTGCGTATCTGGTGTCACATTGTTTACACAGACAACTGTGGTGTGGTTTGTTGTTGTTGTTGCTCTTGCACTTCAGGGGGATTTGTGAGATTAACGTGTTAAAAAATAAATATTTGGTCTAGTTAGTTTTCTCTGGCAATTTGTTATTCAACTCTCGACAACAGCAAAAACAAACAGAGACTCAGAGACAGAGCACCTCACAGCATGCACAGTTTTCCATTTCTGCAGTGTTTCATCTTTGCAGTTTTCTAGCAGTCGCAGTCGCAGCAGCAGCAGCAGTGGCAGTGGCAGTGGCAGCAGCAGTAACCCATCAACATCATCATCCTCAACGTCGTCATCCTGGTCATGGTATCTCAGCTCTAGCGCTCAGCTTGTTGTTGTTGTTGTTGTTGTTTGTTTGCTCTTTTTGAAATGTGCATAAATTCATTTTGGTAATGGGATTTTCCTTGGCTTCAAACTGTATCTTTTTCTTTCTTTCATTTTTTTCTGTTGTGGGTGCTGCCTTTCGGTTTAAGAGATTTGTAGCTGCTTTTTGCCCATGGCAAATGTGCTTGTGCTGGATGGCCCAGCTCTGCATTTAATAAGCAACAGCTGCCAGCGGCAATGCGATTGCCACTGAATGATGAGGTCCAGCTTTGTGTTGAAATTAATTTGAATTATAAATTGTATACAATTTTGTAATTTGCACTTGTGCTTGCAATTATAATTCATTTATGGTTTATTTAAATTGCACGCCATATTTTGTATACTTTGAAATTCCGGATTATTGCAAAAATACAATTTAATTAATCAGTTTTTAATAAGTTTTTTATAAAATTATTAGCTGGTAATTCTTAAACATTCATAATCAATAAATGGGCTTATTTAAATTTTATGCATAGTTCAAAATTTTATTTTATTTAAAATCGCATTTTTAAAAATAAATTTAATGTTTTTATGTAAGCCTTTGAAATGAGCGTAAATTGTATTTAATATTCGAGTCGTTTTTTGTTATTTGCAGTTATATTGTTATATATATTTTTGCAAATCTCTTTAAATTGTTGCTGTTGGAAAATATTTAGAGTTTTGTGCTCTTTTCACACTTTCTTTCACTTACATTCATCTCACTCTGCGTTTAAGATCAAAGAGCATGCGAATAACAATTTGTGCAACTTATTGGCTTCGAGGGCATAACAAATTGAAAACGCCTGCCAATAGGCTGGGGTTTTCCATCATAGTTTGTGGTTGGGCATTTAAATGCATTTCCCATGAGCTAAGTACATTTTCCCAGGCCCATTAAATATAAAGCAAAACTGGAACAACAACAACCCTGCGAATAATTTTCAATAGTTGACTAATTACGTCATGGTCAATTAGTTGTATTTGGGTCACAACTGCTCAGCAGGGTGTTGCAGGGGTGTGGCCGGCTGCCCAAAAGGTGTGTGTGCGCGTTCTATATAGGGTCTGTCTGGTCAGTTGCTGCTGATCGATAGGAAAATTATGGAAAAATTTAAATTAAACATGGGACGAGCTGCCTACACAGAAATGAAGGGTTAAGATGAGGCCCTGGGGCATAGGTTCAACCCTTGTTGGTGCTCACCTTGTTGTTGTTGTTGTTGTTGTTGTTATTGTAATCATAGTTGTTGACATTTCGTAGCGTAAATTGGTATTTACATATGTCCCGTTGTCCTGTGCCGTTACAGAACCGATCAATGTGCCCCGCCTGCATTACAAATTCGGAAATTTTGTACATGTCCTTTGAGCTTTTTCCGCAGGGCAGCAGGCGGGGCAGGCTGCTACCGAGGACGTGTGTGTTTGTGTGCGTGTGTATGTTATCGTTGTGTGCATGTTTATTTGGTGATTGTCCTTTCGTCCTCGTCGCAATGCAGCTGTTTCATGCCCATTTAACACCTTCAATCCGCTTTGCCTTTGCCTTTGGTACGTACCAATAGATACATAGATACACTTAAATATATTCTACTATATATGTGTGTATGTATATATATAAATATATATATATTTGCCATTTAACAAGCTGTGCTGGAAAAATATTATCGCTTGACATACTCTGCTTGTCAGCCTGGGCATGTTTGCGCGCTTCCCACGTCCTGTCTGTGCATTTGTATCTGTATCTTTCAGATGCACGAGGCAATTGGTTTATTTTCCAATACGGTAGCCGCTCAAATACGCCAACAGCACAGTGTTCCGGGGGTTTCGGGTAGCCGAGGTGGTTCACAGCCAATGTAATTTGTGTAAACATTTGCCCAGTTTTCTCACTGATTTTTGGCTCTTGCTCGTTCGCTCCTTTCGAATCTTTTTTTATGATAAACAGTGTGAGAAATCGTTGGATGGATGCCTCGTAAATTTCCTATTTGAAAATTTCACTTTGCATTTCGATTTTCGTGTAAGTCTCTTGTGTAAACACATCACAGATTCTGTTTCTGTTTCTGATTCGGATTTGAATTCATATGTCTGCAAAATTGTTCAACAACAAAATGTTGGCAGATTATGGGTTAAATTTATGCGAATATTTGCTTGATATTTGGGCCAACGACGTCTTATTTTGTGCCACCGAAATGAAAATATTTTGTGCAGACCTGAGTTCAATGCAATTTTCTTAGTTTGAATACAATTTCCCAATGGATTTCGAAAGATTAACTATTGTGTTAGTGGGAACTAAGTCCATGGGGCATAAATTGCCAGTTTGGGTCACAGTTCACCGATAAAGATCTCAACCGTGCATTGTTTCTTGTAGATGAAGTCATGAGCAGTAGTTCATTTAGTTGCATTCTCACCCAACTAAATGATCCCAAAAGATCCGACTGCATACGCTTGAGTGCCGCAGTGACACAACACTTTGTTAGCCCCGGAATTCTACAAAAATAGCAAGTAATGCTGCGGCTCGCAAGGAGCAGGATATTGCCACCCACAGACTGGCAGATACTGAGGACCAACCGCATAGCTTACGCCCGAAACAATTTTCTGAAACAATTTTCCCATGAAAACAAGGCAAAAATTTACTCATATTTTTCACAACTCCAGTGCCAACACATAGATCATTTTTAACAGGGGTTGCTGCTGGGATGCTGCTAGTCGTGCGTGGCGCTCCCTCTCCTCGGTGCTATGTCCTGTGGCCTGTGCACTCTCCCTTTCTCGATTTCCTTTCGCTTTCATGTTGTTTTTCATGTTTATGTGCATTTAGTT